CGACAGAAGAGAACACCAGCGACAGAAGACAACACCAGCGACAGAAGACAGGCAGAGAAAAGGTATAACGAAGGCCGACAGTCTTTTACAAAAACTGACATAGGAAGAATTCAACGAAAATCCACCCTCCCTATTTTTGCCATCAACTTTGCCATTGAATCCTGCCCACGAATTATACACCGAGAACCTCCTGCAGGGAATTCACATGGCCCGCCATGCTGTTGATGAGGAGATGCTCATCAGTGAGGTTTTGTCAGCGCTCAGTAAGCCGTGTTAACAAGGAAGAATCATCCACCCCACGAGGAGCATGGTCAGCCGTTAACAAGAGCCACCTTCATCTTCACGCCGTGGTTAATGTTGAATGCATTGGAACTGAAGCAAGAGAGAAACTATAGAAATAGATCCATCGAGCACAGTTGCACTATGTTAAAAAAAAAAATTGGTGCTGGAGCATACGACATAACAGCGTCACTCATTATGTTCCAGAAGTCGCAACGGAGCAGTGAGCTGTCAGGGTGTGTGCTTGGGACTTGTCGGTCGTCTTTAGAGGTGTACAAGAATTTTGGCACAGCGCGAACTCTCTGCAACCGTCGATGGCCACCTGACAGCCCGTTTGTTGTATCCCGTAGGAGCCGAGTGGGCGGGTGAAGGGTGCCGGGCGGGTGAAGGGTGCCGGGGACAACGAGACCAGGTGAGGATGTTGTTTTGTCTGGTCGTCGGTTTTGCTTCCTTTTTTTGGTTCAATGGCACGGGCGATACTTGGAGAGAAGAAGTCGGGGCATTCGGTGAGTGCAGCTCTTGCGTTGGTATGCATTGACGCTCCGAATACCCGTATGATGGTGCGAGGATGCGAAGGTCAGCAGTTGTCCGAATTGCTCTCGGCTGGTGGGAGCCCTGAGATGGTGACGATCAGGCCAGCTGCAGTTGAGGGTGCGGAGCCGGGCGAGCAATTTGGCGTTCTGCATATCGACGACGTATTACGTTCGGAAGAAGTAAAAAGACTTGCTGCGACCGCTCACAAAGCAACGGGCAATATCCCCCTGGATGTCGAGAGCCACTTCACGCCCGAGGGACTCTACATCGAAACCAAGAACTCCGGTATAACCAACGGCAATCAAAACGCGCTGAACCACATCGAAGGCACCCGTTCATCGGACGGACGCATTGTAGCGACACTTCATTTCGGCGCCAGAAAAGCAAAGCCAGAAAGTTCAAACAAACCTTTATCGAGTTTCCTCTGGAAGAATTTTATGCGAACAAACAAACACTGATACATACTTTCTAACCATCATCACACCGCGCACGCACCATGGTGAGCACACCGCGCACGCACCGTGGTGAGCACACAGCGCACGCACCGTGGTGAGCAACTATGTAAAATAGAATGTCAATCGGAAACTTTCGGGTGTCGCTAGATCAACCTTCATGTCGCTTAGGACCTTGCCATCACCATTTGTTATCCTGCTATTAGCCATCACGAATTGCCCAGCGGTGTCGACGAGTGACAGACAAGCCTCGTGAGCCCAATATCGATCTCGACTGGTGGCACCAAGTGCCAGTCTCCGCACTTCTTCTGAACACAAAACGTCGTCGACTCTAATTCTCTGGTTCGGTGTCAAGCCGGCCGCGACTGGACGGATCGTGGCAGTCTCTTCACTCCAACTCGCCAAGAGGAAATTCTCTAATTTCGTAACATCTCGAACTCGCACAGCCATCCGGGTATTCGGAGCATCTATGCACAATAACGCAAGCGCTGCACTCACGAATTGTGGTTTCTTCTCACTAGCAATAGCTCGTGCCATCGGCAAAAAAAATCTGATTCCGGGCAGATCGAACGGACGAACGAGCATCTGAGTGGACGAGCATCTGAGTGGACGAGCACCTGAGTGGACGAGCACCAAAGCCTGAATGCAGGAGGCTGAATGGAGGGAGCTGTTGGTGATAAAACGTTCATGTCGTCAATGAAAAATCACAATGGCACACGCCTGTGGATCCTGGTTGTTAGCCCGGCTCAAAACACACACGCGATCGACGCTGACGCGCGACCCGCCTGGTCGGCCCTGACGCGCGACCCGCCTGCCTCGCTACCGCGTCTTGCACGCAGTTCATTGAAGCGTCCTGCGTAACTAACTCCATACAGGCGCGCCGCCAAAATCGATCTTGACGTACTCCCAACGCACTCGATTACCGCGGCAAAAAATGTTTGCGGGGGTAGATAGATATCAATATATACCGTGAAGGCCACAAGCGGTACAGCTGGTCGATACATGTCTGGAGACGATCGATGTGTCATTGAGGGGAGGCTATTGGACGACCGATAACCAGTGAAGGAAGAACCAATCAAACCAGAGCAAGGTATCTCCAGTGGCCAACACTTCCGTAGTCTGAAAGTAAAAAAGCTGACTGGCATATATTCGACTGACTTATATCCGGCTGGCTTATATCCGGCAAGGTACTACAGGTAGATTATTTTACGATACTCTCGACGTTTTGGTGTGCTAAACTTGAGTTTCACCTTAAAGGACTCTTTTGACACGAACTGTCCGGTAACAGAAGAGAGGGACAGGCCATTACCGTTGGTGATGCCACAGCCCGATGACACAGCCATGGTCTTAAAGTCGCGAAGAGCGGCCACGATTCGACGGGCCCGTTTTCTTGCACTCTCGTCAACGTTAATGATAGCTCGTTGTACTGAATGGGACGCCACTACGTGATCGATATTCAAATGCTTGAGCTGATCACATTGTTCATCAGAACGTGCTCCTAAGACCCAGATGGGTAAAGAACTCCAACCGGCCAAGAATAGGTCCTCCAAATTCTTGGGGTCAGAGAGCTGCAGTTCCATCCTGGTGTTCGGGGCGTCAATGCAAATATTGCGTGAACCGCATCAACCGATCGCGTTGATTTCTCCTCGCTTTGAACCGCGCGTGCCATCGGAAAAAAAAGAACCGGAGTCCGTTCTCATCCGCAGAGAGGCATAGGTCTGCTGATGCGAGTGAATGTCAACAGGGGGTGGTTGGTTGGTTGGTCTTGGAACACACAATGCGACGACCATACGTTCGGTTTGAAAGGTAAAAAGACCACTGGATTAAATCCCCATCAAAGTGCTTTCGTCTTAGCACTCTTTGCCACACACACTCTTTGCCACACACACTCTTTGCCACACACACTCTTTGCCACACACTCTTTGCCACACACTCTTTGCACACACACTATTGGATACATTATTGGCTACACGGCGTCCCGTATCGACGACGCCCCGTATCGACGGTGCCCTGTATAGACGGTGCCAAAGTAGAATACTGTACTCTACCATAATCCTGACGATCCGATTTTATGTTACCGAAGTTAAGCTCTATTGTAAAGAACTCATTTGACACGATCTGACATGTAAGAAACGAGAGCGGCTTGCATTCGCCGTTAGTTATTCCGAAACTCACCGGAGCGATTAAATTTTTGAAGTCGTGAAGAGAATGTGCGACCTGACGGGCACGTTTTCTTATTCTCTCGTTGGCGTTAACAATAGCCCCTTGCACTGCTCGGGACGTCACTACGTGATCGATATTCAATAGCTTACGCTGTTCATTAGAATGCTGTTCAGTAGAACGATGTTCATTAGAACGGGCTCCTGAGACCCAGGTGAGCGAGGGGCTCCAACCGGCCAAGAATAGGTCCTCCAAATTCTTGAGGTCAGAGAGCCGTAGCTCCATTCGGGTGTTCGGGGCGTCAATGCACAACATCGCAAGAACTGCGCTCACCGATCGCGCCGATTCCCCTCGCTTCGAGCCGCACGCGCCATCCGATAAAAAAGCTACCCGGAGTTCGTTCGCGCGTAAACATCTCCCCACTCGGCTGCATCGACGACCCCACTCGGCTGCATCGACGACCCCACTCGACTGTATCGACGACCCCACTCGGCTGCATCGACGGCCCCACTCGGCTGCGTCGACGACCCCACTCGGCATCGACGACCCCACTCGACTGTACCGACG